GAACAGAGTGTCCTGAATCATGACCAGGGAGGCTGGGTTACAAGCTCATTCTCTGCCTCCACTTCCCCCTGCCCAGGCCAAGGGTCCGAGCCCAGCAGATGAGCCCTGCCCAGGCATGCTTTGTCCGCAGTGCCTGCTGGGTCTAAAAGGTGGCCCGGGTGCTGCTGGTCTGGAGTGATGGTGGGACTCCAAGGCTTGTGGGGGGACGGATGTGCCTAAACCAGTGGTTCTCAACCTTCTGGCCCTTTAAATACAGTTCCTCATGTTGTGATGACCCCCAACCATAAAATTATTGTCATTGCTACTTCATAACTGTAATGTTGCTACTGTTATGAATTGTAATGTAAATATCTGATATGCAGGATGGTCTTAGGCGACCCCTGTGAAAGGGTCGTTCGACCGCCAAAGGGGTCGCGACCCACAGGTTGAGAACCGCTGGCCTAAACTCTCACCCGCCCTGCCTGCCCCACCTGCCCTCTTCCCTGGAGAATTGAGGAATAAGGATGCTTTTCCAAAGAAGTAGGATGGTGCCTGCAGGTTAACACCCTCGTGAGTGTGGTGACCAGGGGCCGTAGGGGCCAGAACGGTACCTGGGGGTCCCTGGACCAGCCATTCCCTGCTCATCACTGCAACACCATCTCCGACACTATGGCATCAAGGCCCGGGAGGATGGTCATTCCTGCCCTCAGCTCCGGAGGTGGATCTGAGAGGAACAGAGAGCGGGCACTGCCATTCAGTCCACAGGAGGGCTACACCATGACCACCTGACCACCCCACAGAGAACCCTCAGGGCCTGCCCTGCCCAGACCTGGCACCACCCCTGTGCCGCTGGCACCCCTAGGCTCAGTCCTGCTGCCCACTGGGGCCCAGCCACAGCGGGTCACCGGGACCTTGGAGGCAGTTCCGGCTGCAGGCCAGCTCAGCTCAGCAGTTGCCATGGAACCCTGGCACTTCTGCAGGCAAAAGCCAAACAGCCAGAGTCCACCTGACAGGGGCCAATACTGCCCCTAAGGGCACTTTTGGGGGGGGTGCCTGGAGGCACTGCTGCCCAGTCTTGGGAGGGCAGCCCTAGCAATCTGGGCTGCTGAGACCGGCACCCCAGCTCACCTGGAGCTCCTGCCTCCCTTCCCTCTAACCTCCTGAAAGTGACAGATTGGTTCCAGGCAGAGCAGAGCCGGAGGACCACGGTAGAAGTGGTCCACTACCCTCAGTGTCCCACTGGTTCAACCTCTGGGTAAAGCCATGCTCTAGGAGTCCACATCCTCCCAGAGCCAACTGAGTCTAGCAAGATGGTCAAAGGCAGAAACCACCAGCCCTGCCCAGATCTACCCCAAACCAGGAGCCAGGGCCAGGTAGACCAGGTGCATCCAGTGCAGGGGACACCTGGCTTACCTGAGGGGACCCCAGGGGGGCTGGAACACTCCCCCTCCCCACCACAGGCATATTAACCACACCCTCCAGTCAAAGCCTCCTCAGCTGCACTCAGACACAGAGTGGTCCAGAATGGCCATTTTAATGCAGAAAAATCAAGATAATTTACAAATGAATTACTTTTTGGGCCCAGGCTGCTAGGGCGGAAAGGAGGTGGAGACTGCTGAGAGTCAGACAATGATGTCGGCACCTTCAGCCAGATCCTGCCCAGGCTGCAGCCTGCCAGGAGAGCCCTGGGCCCGGGCCTGCTCCTTGACTCCCACTAGTCCACCCCAAGTGGGTGGCCATGGAGAGACCGATCCCGGGGAGGCAGGGGGAGGAACAAGGCTGCTGGCCCTTCCCCTCTGGCCAAGCCACAGCAGGAAGTAGAGCCGGGCTCTGGAGGCCCAGCACGTTGGCGCTCCCTGGCCTTCCTCCCAGCAGGCTGCAGAGGGACAGCGCAGAGCAGAGGGCACAGGACGAGCCCCTGGACTGAGGTTTGGGGAGGGGCTATTTGATTGGATCTGGCTCGGAGAACGATCGCAGATGAGGCAGTTGCTAGGGAGGTCTCCAACCCTTCTAGAACCCTCCCTCCCACCCACCCCCCCCAAAATATGTACATCCACCTGTCAGAGTTGGCATGGTGCTGGTTTGGGCTCCACACCTCCCACATGGGGCCTGTGGGAGGTGGCTGCAGGCTCAGGGCACTGGAGGTAGAAAGGACCCTCCCAACTGTCCCCCTCCCCAAGCCAGGGGGGTCGAAGACACCGCTAAGGCAGCCCAGACTCCAGCCTGGCCTGGGGCTGAGAACGCTGGCTTCCCAGGGGTGGCTGTGGTCTGAGTTCTGGTTGCTGCAGGCACTCCCCCCGCCGCCCCAGGTCTGGCCAGGTCAAAGGGACCCCCAGAGCTAGGTCCATCAGCGCCTCCAAACAAGAGAATGTAGTCACAGCAGCGCCCACGAGGGGCTGGCAGCCTTCTCCCCGGATACCCACCTGGCCCCTCGCCCACCTTGTCCGAGGGTGCAGACCCCAGAACAGAGCCCAGTCCCGGAGAACCAGCCTGCCAGGCAGATGGGGAGGGGAGGGAGGGGGGCG